GAGACGAGCTCAGAACACAAGTGTCACTTTAAAGGAGCTGTATGTAGGTCCTCCGAGCACATCACACAAGTGTGTCTCATCTCAGTTTATGAACAGACCAGGCTTCATGAGAAGCTCACAACCTCCAAAATTCCCTCGCTGAGCTTCAGAGGCCGCACTAGCACTGACTCAGGATTGGTGCAGGCGCTGGTGTTTAGGGAGAGACCGTTCAGATCAGGTGTAGGAGGTTTAGTCTTGGAGGTGTTGGGCAGACGTGCTGATGTCACAGACTCTGGAAAAAGGTTTATTTACATTATTTAAATTTAAACTGTAGACAATGTACAAGACAACATACACTTGATTTTTTTTTTTTTTTTTACTGCAAATCAAAAGCATATTCCAATAGGCTTTAACTTCTCAGGTTCTTTTTAAAGACAATGCAGTAAAGTGTGTTTGTAACGCAAATTTATTAGGGCTAGGGGCAGACTACGGCCACAAACGCTGCATCGGAGGATTGTTCTTATAGGAGCCTGAGTGTGAATGAAGAGACGATAGAAATTTGTAGTTGGGTGAAGTATATCGAAAGAAATGTTTACAGAGCACAACATTAACAAAAACAAAATAAAAAAATAAAAACCAGTCCAGTTATCTGGTATTCTGATTCAAGTTAATCTAAGTTCAAGGTTTGGGTAAGCTCGCCATCATTCAGTTTCTAGCTGAGTTGAGAGTTTCTGCGAAGCTGGAGTTCAATCAGTCCATAGAAAAAAACCTGACCTAAAAAGGCCAAAGAAACAAATGAATATCATTTAAATACATTAACAGGTCTTAAATACCCCAAAATAAATTAAATGTATGCATAAACATACAAGCATATAAGTGACTAGTTCATATTCAATTAATCAATACATTCAAAATATCAGTCAGTTAATCATTAATCAGAATACACAATAACAATAAATAAATTAATTAAATGTAGTCAGACTAATGACCCAAAAAGTTCATAAGGGTTAACATTTTAACAATAACAATTAAGATTAAATTCAGTAAGTGAATTAATGTCAATAAGTAAATAATTCAATATCAATTCAGTAAGTCATTAAGTTTCATTTAATAAGTTAAATCATTAAATAAAAAAATGTTATTAATTAAGTAAGTTAATAAATAAAGTAAATTCAGTAAGTTGATCATAATTTAGTAAGTAAATCAGTATTAAGTTAATCATTATTAAGTAAGTAAGTGCACTTAAACCTACCTTACCTTGTTGACATGTTTCGGCTGCTGCTGCGAGCCATCTTCAGAACTGTCACTGGTGTTGGTGGTGACGTGTCGTATATCAGCTGTTGTTACTTCCTGTGGGCGTGGTCAGCCTGATGGACCTGGCAGGTCGCTCAGACTGACCACGCCTCCCGTCGCCCGGTGTTCTCTGGAGGAGGGTGTCCCAGGTGTGTGAAAGGAGGAACGCTCCGTCATCATGGTTAATGCTGTCCGTGCCTCGTTTCCTGATTTCAAAGGCCTCCTTGATCCAGCGTTTGAACTTGTTGTTTTCTGATCCAATGACCCGAGCCCCGTCCCGATTCATAATGTGGTTGTTCCTTTTACAGTGGTCTGATTTTAGGTTTTCCTGTTCTGCTTTATCTTTTTGTGTTCTGGTGAGTCCCCCGTCACCATCAACACAGGGGACAGTTCTGAAGATGGCTCTCAGCAAGCAGCCCAAACATGTCAACAAGGTAAATACACTTTACTGCATTGTCTTTAAAAAGAACCCAAGAAGTTAAAGCATATAAGAAAACAAAATGAACATCTTTGGCTTAATATTCCAATAGGGGTGTAAGGCAGTAGGAGACTATGGACCAGTGGACTCACTTGGTCACTGCATCCAACAGATCAGTGTGTGGATGCAAAACAACTTTCTTCAGCTAAACTCTGACAAGACTGAAGTCATAGTGTTTGGTCCCCAGAAACAAACGGACAGTGTCAGCAGTCACCTCCAGTCTCTCTCTCTAAAACCTTCAAATCAGGCAAGAAATCTAGGGGTAATAATGGACTCAGACTTGAACTTTAACAGCCACATCAAATCAATAGCAGCCTTTTACCATCTAAAAAACATAGCAAAAATCAAAGGTTTACTGTCTAAAGCAGACTTGGAGAAACTTATCCATGCGTTTGTCTCCAGTAGGTTAGATACTGTGATGGTCTGCTCACTGGTCTCTCCAAACGAGCTGTGAGACAACTGCAGAACATCCAGAACATCCAGAACATCCAGAACATCCAGAACACTGCAGCTCGGGTCCTTACTCGAACTAGGAAGTACGAGCACATAAGTCCTGTGCTCAGGTCTCTGCTCTGGCTCCTGTGGCTCAGAGAACAGACTTTAAAGCAGCTCTGCTTGTGTACAAGTGTCTCCATGGACGAGCACCAAAGTCCATCTGTGACATGTTAGTGTCATATGAACCATCTCGCACTCTGAGGAGCTCAGGGACCGGCCTCCTGCTGGTGCCCAGAGTCACGACTAAACAAGGGGAGTCAGAGTTTCAGGTTCATGCAGCTAAAACCTGGAACAGTCTTCCTGAACATGTGAGACAGACTCTTCTGTGACGCTGTTTAAATCCAGACTCTAAACATTTCTGTTTAACTGTGCATATAACTGAAAGGTTTTCATTCCGCACCCTTCTCTCCAATTTATGTCTCTCTTTTTTAATTTGAATCTTCATGATTATTTATGTTTTGATTTGTTTTAATTATGATTTTGTATGTATTTCTTATTCTGTAAAGCACTTTGAATTACTTTGTGTACGAATTGTGCTGTACAAATAAACTTGCCTTACCTAAGAAAAAAACTATTCTTCTAATAAGTAAGTCTTTATTTATATAGTGCTTTTCACAGATATTTTTTGTCCCCAAAGACACTTTACAGAACATTACATTCAGCATTATTCATTCGCTCTGTACCTGGTGATGGTAAACTACTGTTGTAGCCACAGCTGTCCTGGGGCACACTGACAGAAGCACGGCTGCCATGCCAATTTGCACCATCGGTCCCTCCGACCACCACCACCAACACTCACAAACACCACTGTCATACTAGGCAATGTGTCTTGCCTAAAGACACAATGATTGAATTGATTGTATTTAATTGACCTTGACTATCAAGTGTTCTTGGAGACCTGGAGCATGTTTTGGGTTGATGGGGGAAACTGGAGCACCTGGAGGAAACTCATCCAGACACAGGGAGAAACATGCAAACTCCACACAGAAAGGCCCAGGCGACCCGGGGATCGAAACTAGAACCTTCTTACTGTGAGGCATGAGTGCTAACCACTCATCCACTGTGCCGTGATATATCGTGATACTTCATTGCACAATTCTCAAATCAGGATTTCAGGAATTTTTTCATTTTTCAAAATTTTTTGTCAAAAGATGAAGGTTACATACACTAAAATGGCCACAATTTTTTTTCGCGATATTTCCAGAAGAGCAGACCCTCCAGTTATTGGTCTTTAGGGTCACAGTTAACAAAAAAAAAAAAAAAACACACAAATGAAAAGTATGACAGACGATGTCAGGTTCAACTCATTTTATTGAGCTTTTGAGACTTGGGCTCCCCGACTATCGATGCACAGCCCTATATTCCAAACCTCTTTACTCCTATTGTATATTTTATTTTTTGAAGTTATGTAAAACACAAAAAATGTATATATGGCCAAGGTCAAGCACAAGTAAACAGCAAGGCCAAAAATTCAAGTTAATGCATCTGATATAAAAATGTATTGAACAGATACATATGTACTCTAGTTTATGAAACTGTTGACCTTTTTTCTGTACCATTTTTGGTTCTAAAGTTCCATACGTTTTAAACAGACCATGTATGAAACATGGAACAAAAATTATTTCCCAAATTTCAAAGACCTGCAAATCATGTAAATAAATGGATGTATTTCATCATATCTTGTGTTATTCCATCTTTGAACTGTTGATGAAGGTACAGGATTTTTAAAAAAAGGATTTAAAATGATAAAAATTTGCTTGGAAGGACTGACATATTTTATAGAAATAGTTTCCTTTCATTTTGAAGTAATATTAAAGTATTCAGAAGAAAAAAGTTGACAAATGATGTAAAATCCTGCACCTTCTACTTGTTTGTACAATTTTCCCTCCGTTACTTTTCCCTCCGTTACCATGACCTTTCTTAATAAAAATCTCATGACTCAAAAAGTAAGAGGTTTTTCAACCTAATCTTGTACCATATGGTAGAAAACTATATGAAGTAAATATTCAAACCAGTTTGTTAAGGATATGTAAGTGAGAACCACTAATTATCACTGTTTGAATTTATTGCCCAAAAAGTGCTGCATATTTCATTCCCTCCGTTACCGACATGAGTTTTTAAAATTTTTTGTCAACAACTTGAAAGAATATCACAGGTTTAACTTTACCCTGTTGGAGTGTAACTCTTTCCTACATTCTGATACTTTACTTATTTCAATAGTCCCTTTAGTTTCTGAAAAAGAGACATTTGAATGTCAAAAATCTGCCTGTTTCCCTCTGTTACCACTTGACCAAACCCAGATGTTAATACACAATACTATATTTTCCAACATGTAAACCATTCATGCACTATTATCCATTTTAATCTTGTTGTTGTTATGTAATCATATGTAAATGTGATCATGTGACAGCATTCTGGAACCTCTCTGTTGTCATGGGAACGCAGTGGGAGTTCTTTGTGAGATTCTGTGGAGCGGTGTATATAAGGTCATGGAACCTCTTTGTTGTCATGGGAACGCAGTGGGAGTTCTTTGTGAGGTTCTGTGGAGCTTTGTATATAAAGTCATGGAACTTCTTTGTTGTCATGGGAACGCAGTGGGAGTTCTTTGTGAGGTTCTGTGGAGCTTTGTATATAAAGTCATGGAACTTCTTTGTTGTCATGGGAACGCAGTGGGAGTTCTTTGTGAGGTTCCGTGGAGCGGTATATATAAGGTCACAGCACACTCCAGTCTCCAGTCAGAACCACAGGCCTGAAGATGACTGAGCAGAGCGAGAGCAGTGTCCAGAGCGTCCAGAGCGACCGTCACAAACACAAAAGTGTGTTTAACGAGCTGAGGGACAGACAAATGTTCTGCGACGCTGTGCTCCTCGTACAACACCAAACATTTCACGTGCACAAACTGATCCTCATTGACTCCAGCCAGGTTTTTGGGTAAGTGACAGGAACAAAACGATGTGCGGTCAGGATTCACCAGAACAAAAGAGAGTTTTAGAGCGTCTTTATAAATGGACACTTCCATCTGACGTTATGGACGGACGAATGAAATGTGCAGGAGCTGAGGCTGCAGAGACACAAGAGACACAAGACTTTCACTGCAAACGTCCAAACACACACGATCAGCCAGAACATCATGACCAGACGACCTCGACCGTCACAGAGGACAAGTCTAAAACCTCTGACCTCGACCATCACAGAGGACAAGTCTAAAACCTCTGAGCACAGACTCTGTCCACATGTCTCACCTGTCATTTCTCTTCACAACTCACTTCTGCCAAAACACTTTTAGAAACCTGTCCTCAAACATCTGTCCTCAAACATCTGTCCTCAAACATCTGTCCTCAAACATCTGTCCTCAAATATCTGTCCTCAAACATCTGTCCTCAAACATCTGTCCTCAAACATCTGTCCTCAAATATCTGTCCTCAAACATCTGTCCTCAAATATCTGTCCTCAAACACATGACCCTCAAACACTTGCCTTCAAAAATGGTTCTCAAACATCTGTCTACAAATACTTGTTCTCAAATGTATTTATTTTTAAATTCACATAAATCCAGGAAAAACAACTGAAGTTTTGTGAATCAAATCTTAAAGATCCACAGTCACATCTGGAGACATTTTTGCTCAGCTCTTGCTTCTTCTGCTCCGACATCTGACTGAAGTGTGTTTTTGTTTGTTAGAGCCATGTTTGAACGCTGGGACCATCACAACGATAAAGTCTTCACAGTCGGTGGAATCTCTCCTGAGACCATGTCCCTGGTGCTCGAGTGGATCTACACCAAATCCATTGTCCTGCGCGCGGAGACAGTCCAGGACCTTCTGTTGGCTGCTGACATGCTGCTGCTGGACCAGCTCGTCCTGCTCTGCTTCCAGTTCATGGAGGAGAACATGAGCCCGGAAAACTGCATCGGCATCTGGAAGTTCTCGGATGTCGTAATGTCCAGCAAAATTCGGGATTTGGCCCGGAGGTTCATCCTGAGGAACTTTGAGGAGGTGATGGACTGTGAGGAGTATCAGGATCTCACTGGAGAAGAGCTTAGTGGATTTGTAGAAAGTGACGAACTCCACGTAAAAGACGAGACCGTCGTTTTTAAGGCTATTGTGCACTGGACCAACCACAACGTCCAGAAACGCAGAGGGCATTTTCCACAACTGCTGACAAAGGTGAGTTACCAGTCGTGTATTTTACTTCTGTGGAGTTTTCACTGTTCACACATCACATATTTACATCACCACGTCAACTTTTATTGTTTTAAACAGGTTATCGCCCAAAACAACATATCCACATATTTTATAAGTTTCACTTTTGTTTTTGACGCTCGAGAGAGATCGCTAAATGACTGAAACATGCGTGGATGACTCTAAAACTTCTTCAGGCAGGTTTTTGATGAGGGAATAAAGTTATAACATGGTAGAAAGCTCCAAAAGTAGATTTTACATCATCCTCTTTCTTTAAAGTTTTCATACCAAGATAATATTTGTGTTTCTGAGTCCCACCGGTTTTAAACAAAGATTATATGAGGATTATAGATTGAAAATGAGACTAAACCACAGTAGTTACAAATATTTAGCACCATATTTGATTTTCACAGTTTTCCAGATGTGAAAAACAGAACTAGTTTGTAGTGAGTCAAAGTTATTCTTACTTACCTTTTGCATTCTGAGCCCAAATTATTCACCACAACGACTTTTTAAACACTTTTCACAACTCTCACATCCCAAAGAGTTTCATAAATACACAAAAGCAGGACACATAACAACACACTACGACTTCACAAACCTGATGTGATGTGCAGTAGTTTCATTAGTGGGATGAACTCTGATTGTGTTGTGATAAAAGGCGACATGGAGATCTAAATATGTTCTGTGTTAAAAGTTAATCCCCCATAGAATCAAACAGCTGCTTTAATCTCAAATGAAAGTACAAACTCTACTGTACTGTGTCCTAAACGTTGCTCTTTTGTGTCTTTCAGGTCCGTTTCGTTGAGATTTCGTGCAACTTCATACGTGACAACATTCTCAATAACCCCCTGGTGAACAACATCTCCTGTTCATCCATAATGACAAACACCATGGACACCATCTCTGAACTTCTCATCAACCCCGGCGCCCTGCACCGCCTGCACCGCTCCCGACTCCCTGAAGCCGTCCTCTTGGCCGTCGGAGGCAAGTGCGGCGGCAATGCCACCAATGAAATCGAAGCGTACGACTACAAGGTCGATCGCTGGGTTCACATCATGAACGCCGAGAGGCCCAGAGCGTACCACGGCTGTGTGTTCCTCGACGGATCGCTCTATTGCGTCGGAGGAAATTACAGATGGGAGTATTTTAGCAGCGGGCAGCGTCTGGACCTGGCGACCAACACCTGGCACGAGATACCCCCCATGAACTACAGACGCTCCTTCGTGAGCATGGCGGCGCTGAACGGCCTCATTTATGCCATGGGCGGCTTCGACGGGAACACGAGTCTCAACACGGCCGAAGTGTTCGACCCCCAGACCTCCTGCTGGTCCCTGATCACCCCCATGAACGAGCAGAGGAACGACGCCAAATGTGCCGCTCTGAACGGAAAGGTACGTGCAGAGAAATATGAGAACAATCGTTAACTCTTCTTTGAATGGTTTTAATGAAACACACTTCATTCATAAAGAACAAAAAACAAACTTCTGAGGAACACGTGTCCTGCTCCAGGACACAGATATTGTAGAAACAGCTCTCGAGGGGAAAATAAGTCCACTGTGTACTGCCTGAATCTAATTATAAAGCATTTTATTGACCGATAATCAGGAAGTCCAGATTAGCATGCTAGTTGTCATTAGTTTAACCGTCACAGCCAAACTCTGTTTTGACGTCTGAAAGTTGTGACAAGTGTTTATAAACTCACTATTGTGAATAATGAGGAGGCTCTGAACACAGAAGGTGAGTGAGGAAAAACTTTGGATCAAACGGTTTTAAAACGGAATAAATCAGGTACAGAGCCTTTAATGACACTCTAACCCCTCAAGGAGCTACAAAGCCCAAATCATTCTTAATAAACTGTTTGTTCATTAGGTGTAGTTATTACACTTAATTACAGTGATACAGAAAATACATTTAATAAAAAAAGTTTCATTTATTTCATTTATTTATAACCTTTTAACCTTTGTGTGTTGTGCAGATCTACATATGTGGAGGCTTCGACGGCTCTCAGTGTGTGCAGACAGCCGAGTGCTACAGTCCAGAAACAAACCAGTGGAGCTTTATCGCTCCCATGACGACCAGACGCACTGGGCTCAGTGTCACCGCCTACGGCAACAGCATCTATGCGGTAAGTGCAGAACTACAAACACAACTGAGCCCCAGAGCCTTCAGCTGCAGACAGAGACACGTCCAAGTGTGTCTCATCTCAGTTTATGGACAGACCAGGCCTCATGTGAAGCTCACAACCTCCAGAACTCCCTCCCTGAGCTGCTGGGTTTAGGTCGAGACCGTTCAGATCAGAGAGACATTTTAGGTTTAAAACTACTGGATTTCAGCTTTGAACCTGGCAACACAAAAGAGAGAGTCATGTGAAGCTCATTCTGCTTTCTGATTGGATAATTGACTTGAACCAAAAACACCAAATTATAAAAACCTGACTTTATGTTTTTGATATTAAGAACAAATCAGTGTTGCACATGTTTATTTCGTATCTGGGGACAACGTTTATTTATTTACAGAATTTAACCTAAAAATCTTACATACGATTCCTTTAAATCTTGTACCTATTTTATATTTTATAAGACTCACTGAGATTTTTTGGAATGACATGACATTATTCTCTTGTCCTAACATGTGGGCTCTTTGTGTAGGTCGGGGGTTTTGACGGGAATGAAAACCTCCGCAGCGTGGAAGTCTACAGTCCACGCTCCGACTCCTGGAGGGAGGTGGCGCCCATGAACACCACACGCTGTAACTTTGGCATCGCCGTCTTAAATAACCGGATCTTCGCTGTGGGCGGATACGACGCCTTCTCCACCACCCTCAGTGTGGAGGCGTATGACCCCCTAGTGGACAGCTGGAGCAAGGTCTGTGACATGAACATCTTCAGGAGCGGCTTAAACTGCTGCGTCATCTCCGACCTTCCCAACATGTCCGACTACACCTTCTCCAGACACGCTCTTCCTCTGCTCGATGTAGAGACAGACGACGACGACAAGGAGTTTGAGGACGCCACATAAACAGACCCTAAACCCCCAGAGCAAACACCAGGCCTGGGGGAGACTAAATAATTAATATAAGCATCCAGAATACTGAGTTATTATTTCATGAGTAAAAGACGGGGAAGTAAACAGACCAGTGTGTTTTCAACCAGGGAAATACAAGAGTCAGTTTTCTGTGTAACTGTCACAAACAGCCCATTGGTGATTCATGAGAGGATCATTCACACAGGCACTTTAATCCACTTTGCACTTTAGAACTTTTACATTGCACTTTAATAACTCGGAGCACTTAGAACATCAATCAATCTGTACCTAGTATCAGTTTTTTACACTTGCCAAAGTAAAATTCCATGAGAAATTTCATGAAATTCTATTGATTTTTACTGTTTCCACCAAGACTCTGAGGTTTAGTGCAGAAGACTTAACCCTTGTAAGGTCTTCGGGTCTGTGGGACCCGTTTTCAGTTTTTAACTTCAGAAAAATTATACAAAGAATTATTTTTTCAGCCTGAGATTATTTGGCCTTGGCTCATTTTGAGTGAGGAACATGAATCAGAAAAAAAATTTAACTGACCCCCCCTTGATTCCACCCCCTTCACACTTATATTACATACAGGGTCTTCTGGTCCACTGGACCCGGAGCTACTGAAAGTATGAAAATCATAGCTCCTCATTTCCCCTTTCTCCTCTTTGGGCCTGTGTGTGCTGTGTGTGTGTGTGTGTTGTGTATGTGTGTGTGTGTGTTGTGTATGTGTGTGTGTATCGTGTATGTGTTGTGTGTGTGTTGTGTGTGTTTTGTATGTGGTGTGTGTAGCCCGAAGGAGTGACGTGGGGCCGTCCTCACGTGGGCCCACCACCCGCGGGAGGAGCCATATGGGGCCGGTGCAGAGAGAACTGGGCGGCAGTCGACGGCGGGGGCCTCGACGACCGGATCTCCGGACATGGAGACTAGCTCTGGGGACATGGAATGTCACCTCGCTGGGGGGGAAGGAGCCTGAGCTTGTGCGGGAGGTTGAGCGTTACCGACTAGATATAGTCGGCCTCACCTCCACGCACAGTTTGGGCTCTGGAACCCAACTCCTTGAGAGGGGCTGGACTCTCCATTTCTCTGGCGTTGGCCGCGGGGAGCGGCGGCGGGCTGGTGTGGGCCTGCTCATTGCCCCACAGCTCAGCCGCCATGTGTTGGAGTTCACCCCGGTGAACGAGAGGGTCGCGTCCCTGCGCCTTCGGGTCGGGGACAGGTCTCTCACTGTGGTGTCGGCCTACGGGCCGAACAGTAGTGCTGAGTACCCGGCCTTCTTGGAGTCCTTGGGAGGGGTACTAGACAGTGCACTGACCGGGGACTCCGTTGTTCTCCTGGGGGACTTCAACGCCCACGTGGGCAATGACAGTGACACTTGGAGAGGGGTGATTGGGAGGAACGGCCTCCCCGATCTGAACCCGAGCGGTGTTTTGTTATTGGACTTCTGTGCTAGTCACGGTTTGTCCATAATGAACACCATGTTCGAGCACAAGGGTGTCCATAAGTGCACGTGGCACCAGGACACCCTAGGCCGGAAGTCGATGATCGCCTTTGTAGTCGTGTCATCTGATCTCCGGCCGCGTGTCTTGGACACTCGGGTGAAGAGAGGGGCTGAGCTGTCAACTGATCACCACCTGGTTGTGAGTTGGGTTTGCTGGCGGAGGAGGAAGCCGGAAAGACCTGGCAGGCGTAAGCGTGTAGTGAGGGTCTGCTGGGAACGTCTGGCGGAGCCCTCTGTCAGAGGGACTTTCAACTCGCACCTCCGGGAGGCTGGAGATATGGAGTCCGAGTGGGCTTCATTCTCGGCCTCTATTGTCAATGCGGTTGCTCGGAGCTGTGGGCGTAAGGTCTGTGGTGCCTGTCGCGACGGCAATCCCCGAACCCGGTGGTGGACACTGGAAGTAAGGGATGCCGTCAAGCTGAAGAAGGAGTCCTATCGGGCCTTGCTGGCTCGGGGGACTCCTGAGGCAGCTGACAGGTACCGGCGGGCCAAGCGTGCTGCAGCCCGTGTGGTCGTGGAGGCACAAACTCGGAGTTGGGAGGAATTCGGGGAGGCCATGGAGAAGGACTATCGGACGGCCTCAAAGAGATTCTGGCAAACCGTCCGGCACCTCAGGAGGGGGAAGCAGTTCTTCGCCAACACTGTTTACAGTGCGGGAGGAGAGCTGTTGACCTCGACTGGGGACGTTGTCCGGCGGTGGAAGGAATACTTTAAGGATCTCCTCAATCCCACCGTCACGTCTTCCGAGGAGGAGGCCGAGGCTGGGGACTCGAAGGCGGACTCATCCATCACCCTGGCTGAAGTCACTGAGGTGGTTGGAAAGCTCCTTGGTGACAAGGCTCCGGGGGTGGATGAGATCCGTCCTGAGTACCTTAAGTCTCTGGATGTTGTGGGGCTGTCTTGGCTGACACGCCTCTTCAACATCGCGTGGCGGTCGGGGACAGTACCTCTGGACTGGCAAACCGGGGTGGTGGTCTCTCTGTATAAGAAGGGGGACCGGAGGGTGTGCTCCAACTATAGGGCGATCACACTCCTCAGCCTTCCCGGTAAGGTCTATGCCAGGGTGCTGGAGAGGAGAATCCGGCCAATAGTCGAACCTCAGATCCAGGAGGAGCAGTGTGGTTTTCGTCCTGGCCGTGGAACACTGGACCAGCTCTACACTCTCCATCGGGTGCTCGAGGGTTCATGGGAGTTTGCCCAACCAATCCACATGTGCTTTGTGGACTTGGAGAAGGCATTCGACCGTGTCCCTCGTGGTGTCCTGTGGAGGGTGCTCTGGGAGTATGGGGTCCGGGGCCCTTTGCTAAGGGCTGTCCGGTCCCTGTATGACCGGAGCAGGAGCTGTGTTCGCATTGCCGGCAGTAAGTCAGACCTGTTCCCGGTGCATGTTGGACTCCGCCAGGGCTGCCCTTTGTCACCGGTTCTGTTCATTGTGTTTATGGACAGAATTTCTAGGCGCAGTCAGGGGCCGGAGGGGGTCCGGTTTGGGGACCACAGGATCTCATCTCTGCTGTTTGCGGATGATGTTGTCCTGTTGGCTTCATCGAACCAGGACCTGCAGTGTGCACTGGGGCGGTTTGCAGCTGAGTGTGAAGCTGCTGGGATGAAGATCAGCTCTTCTAAGTCTGAGGCCATGGTTCTCGACCGGAAAAAGGTGGCTTGCCCTCTCCGGGTGGGTGGGGAGTCTTTGCCTCAAGTGGAGGAGTTCAAGTATCTCGGGGTCTTGTTCACGAGTGAGGGAAGGACGGAACGTGAGATTGACAGGCGGATCGGTGCAGCTTCGGCAGTGATGCGGTCGCTGTATCAGACCGTTGTGGTGAAGTCGATTTACCGGTCAGTCTTCGTTCCTACCCTCACCTATGGTCATGAGCTCTGGGTAGTGACCGAAAGGACGAGATCGCGGATACAAGCGTTTGAAATGGGTTTCCTCCGCAGGGTGGCTGGGCGCTCCCTTAGAGATAGGGTGAGGAGCTCAGTCACACGGGAGGAGCTCGGAGTAGAGCCGCTGCTCCTCCACGTCGAGAGGAGCCAGTTGAGGTGGCTCGGGCATCTGTTTCGGATGCCTCCTGGGCGCCTCCCTCGGGAGGTGTTCTGGGCATGTCCCACCGGGAGGAGGCCCCGGGGAAGACCCAGGACACACTGGAGGGACTATCTCTCGGCTGGCCTGGGAACGCCTCGGGGTCCCCCCTGAGGAGCTGGAGGACGTGTCTGGGGTGAAGGAAGTCTGGGAGTCCCTGCTTAGGCTGCTGCCCCCGCGACCCGGCCCCGGATAAGCGGACGAAAATGGATGGATGGATGGATGGTGTGTGTGTTTTGTATGTGATGTGTGTTGTGTGTTTTGTATGTGTTGTGTGTGTGGTGTGTGTTTTTGTATGTGTGTGTGTGTTGTTTGTGTGTTTTGTATGTGGTGTGTGTGTGTTTTGTATGTGGTGTGTGTGTGTTTTATATGTAGTGTGTGTTGTGTGTGTTTTGTATGTGGTGTGTGTGTTGTGTGTTGTATGTGTTTTGTATGTGGTGTGTGTTGTGTGTGTTTTGTATGTGGTGTGTGTGTGTGTGTGTGTTTTGTTGTGTGGTGTGGTGTTGTTGTGTGTTGTGTGTTTTGTATGTGGTGTGTGTGTGTTTTGTATGTGGTGTGTGTTGTGTGTGTTTTGTATGTGGTGTGTGTTGTGTGTGTTTTATATGTGGTGTGTGTTGTGTGTGTTTTGTATGTGGTGTGTGTTGTGTGTGTTTTGTATGTGGTGTGTGTGTGTTGTGTGTTGTGCGTTTTGTATGTGTATTTTCTCAGTGGTACATAAGCTGTACAGACAAAACAAGTTTATCTGTACAGCTCAATTTGTACACAAAATAATTCAATGTGCTTAAAGAGATAGTTTGGATTTTTTGACAGCTCTCGTAGCTCTCTCGTAGCTCTCTCGCGTGGCGGCGGTCTGCGCATGTAAACACTGCCAAACAACTGAAGAAAGTGATGGATCCATGCGCGGCTGTCACCTGGCGGCCGCGCGCAGTGGTACATACGGAGAGAAAATAGCGCCAAGCGATTATGAGATCTGACTTTTTTGGCGACGATGGTTTTGTGATGCAAATGTATCACTCTTTTGAACAAATATTGCTTTGAGAAGAAAAACGCTTTAGTATACAGTCCCCACACAACTTGCCGAACTACTTTCCTCAGCACCAAAACGGGCCAGTATCTCGGCTCACCGGACGCTTTCGGGGGTAAGTCGGTGTGGATGCACAACACTGATGACGGGGATGCCATACAGATTTATGTCAAAAAATCCGAACTATCCCTTTAAGAAATGCATTAAAATCACAATATAAACAAATCAATACATAAATAATCATCCTAAAATTAAAAAGAGAGAGAGAGACATTAAATGAGAGAGTAGAGTGAAGAATAAAAAACTTTTCAGTCAGGTGCAGTCAAACAGAAATGTTTTGAGCCTGGATTTAAACAGAGTCACAGTCAAGTCTGTCTCACATGTTCAGACTGTTG